CTCTTCGCTTTTTAATGCCTCGTTATTTTTTTTAAATCAATTATCAACTTCAAATTATCGCCTTGAGCAAGGTTTTTCTTGAAAGGTGAGAAGCAAATCACAAATCCTAGACGTAAAAACAGACAAACAAAAAAACAACTGAACCCTTCAAGCTTCCTACCTGTAGAGTGTTAATAGGAGATTTAAGGAGGAGAAGCTTTCAGAATTCCCGTCTCCTACACACAAACTATTCAATGATAACTTCCTCCCAGAAATTCTCACGAACTCAAACACGATTTCACGTGTGTGGTACATTCTACATTAGTACTCAACCTTACTCTAGGATCTCTCCGATCTATTTCTTTTGGCTTTTTCCTCAGGAACTCCTCGTTTTATTTTTAGGCAATGATTTTCATTACCGCACGTACCCCATGTATCAATTGCTGTTGTTTACATCATCAACATATATTTGCATTGGTTGATGTGTTAATGGATGGGGCTCTTTAGGCGAGCGAGCATAACTTTCTTTATTATGACTCATAAAAAAGAAGCGCCATCGAGGTTAACTTCCTCAGACTCTCAGATATAGTGAAGAAGACTTCATTTAGGATGTTCAAATTTATTTGTCTCCTGGTGTTCGTCGTTGGTTTGTCAAGGAAAGGAAGCTGTGGTGAGACTTGTTTTTATATGACTGATAGAGATAAGCCTTTATATGGAGTTTTCAATTATTGAATTAATCAGTACAGCTCGATCATTGGCGTTTAATTGATTCCTTGGTGCTCGCCAAGTGCTTCGGAGCGAGCCACCCAATTTCCCCCTTTGCAAAACAACGAATGCACTATGGAAACTCCCACGGTCAGCTAACCCAAACATGTCTGTGATTTTTGCATTAATGCGTGGGCACTCCTTGCTAAAAGTAGAAGAAAAATAACAGCAGTAGTAGCAGCAGCAGCAGCAGCAGCAGCAGTAGAAGAAGAAGAGATCTGAGACGTTGTAGTAGGGAAGAATAAAAAGAGAGAAGAGTCCAGAGTCTCAGTACTTCTCGTTAAAAGCCAAGCGAGTGGTAAAGACCCCCAACATTTGTTTGCTGCAATGGTGTCTGCAAATCTTGTCTTTCTTCCACCGAAAAGCTGAAGTCAATGAAACTCTCTATAGAATACCGCCCGCTCACGAGCTGAGAAAAAAAAATTTCCATATCCGTTGAATTTAATGTTCGTTATACACTTAGGTTAGTGGCCTATTGGACAGCCTCACTATAGCTCAGGATTAATTGTTGTTAAAATGTGTTGTTTTCTTTTATCTCTGTAAAAGGGATGATTACGTTATGTTCATTGATCTATTTTGAATTAATCTGATACGGATTGACCTCTTGACTCCTATGTGGTAAGGAATGACACGATCCATCACCGATATTTTTTTATACAGTATAATTTCGCCAATTCAAACAAACAAAATATTTTCCGCGATTATCGGCTAACTTCCAATCATATATTGATGAGCGTTATCATCCAGCAAGGCCCAGTTATTAAAAGGGCAGCTCACGCTATCCAACGGTTACTTTATCCGCCTAGTAGTTTACAATAACCTTTCGAAATCCTCATTTTAACGTTAGTGATCTCGAACTGTAATTGGTCACCATTTTCAGTTCAAGTTTGTTGGGTGTTAGTGATAACTATTGACAGATTCGAACATTTTTTCGGCAGGACATTAAATTTTGAGTCTTCATTGCCTTGAATGCAAGTCTGCATGGCTAGAAGAGTATGAGGACAAACATTCGCCGCGAATAACTTTTTAAACTGATTGGACAAAAAACAGTAGGGTCAATTTCAGGTTAAGCTGTTGTCAGCGAGGCCGAATAAATGGCTCCGTATTCACTCTGTATCATGTACAACGATCTCTTTTTCGTGGAGAAATTTCTCCTTGACGAGACAGTCTATGAAAATTGAGAAATCGCCAACCATTGCCTCTAAAGTTAATAACCCGTATTAGGTCTTATAAGCGGCCCTGAAGAAGACCTACGATCGGAGTATTTACGTCAATATTGTTAAGTTCCCAAGCAGTCCCCTTTTGGCCGGGTCTAATCACAAGACCAACGAACGGCCAGTACGGAGACTAAGTTATTGTCAGTATTGGAGTAAAAAGTAATCCGCATTGCTTTGGTTTTGCTTTATTTCGCTCTGTGATTAGTCCGGAAAACTCGCGCCATTCTCTCTCTAAATCAGATGCAAATCAAGACTTGGTTGTCCGCGCGTTCCCACGCTTAAAGCAATTTGGTTGTTTTTACTTCGAGTTCTCATTGGCTCTTAAAGGTATTTTCCTTTTTTCTTATTAGCCATTGTAATTACTTTTGGGTTTTATGACACTCAATCGAATAACGATCTATCTAGATAGACATGGAAATTTCATTCCACCTATTCCGAGAAGTTTGATCTCGGGATTCTGGGAAAAAAACAGGAACTCTTCTGTTCAAGTGCGCTACAAAATGATCCTTAACATTGGATTGGTTTTTGTAAATCATCGGGAAAAAGTCTACTCAACATATTTTCAAGCCAAAAGCATTGTATTTATAAACTTAGCCTCCGGCGCTAATTTACAGTGCGCTCAACAAAAGTTTCGAACGGCTTACTATTATAAACGAGTTATAATGCTAACATTTCGAATCAGATTTTAAAGGCAAATTTTCATTGCTTTAGGTCCAAGCTTAGAAAAGTGAAGGACATCACTAATTATCTCTAGTTTAAGATGCGCTTCTCCATCACATGTCGGATGTAAAAAAATCGAATGCAGGTCAAACTATTTAATGCATTACAAGTCCAACTTTAGACCAAGATGCCATTGCCACCTTTAAGGAACTTCTCTCAGTTTTCACTTTTTTTGCTTCATTTAGAATGTGAAAAACCTTTGGACCTCGCCATCTTGGTTGATATATCACAGAGTATGGATGACGAACAGCTCCATAAAATGGGGGAAATCATTAATCATTTGGTGGAGAACATTGGCGTGTCTGAAAAAGACAGTCACGTTGGTGTTGTTACGTTTGGAGGCAATGCAACCGTCCTCAACGACTTCGCCAACTCAAGGTACTACAAGGTAAGCAACTTGAAGAGGCTCGTGACCGGAGCCTTGGAAAAAACATCGAAAAACGATGGAACTCGCACAGACCTGGCTCAACACCTAGCTGCGAGACATTTATTTACCCAGGATGGAGGCGACAGACCAGACATCAGAAATGTCGTACTCCTCTTTACTGACGGGAGATTTTTTATCAATACAACATGGGATAAAAGAGAAAATATTACACTTAAGAACACGTCGAGAGAATTGGAGGTAAGACCTTGTCTTTGACGTTTTGTGCCATTTTCCCAGCTATTGATTTCTACCTTGACCCCGATTGAAAGTCAGTTACTGAATTTGCTATTACTATTGTTTGATTCCTAGGAAAAAAAGGCGAAGATTTTTGTTGTTGGAGTTGGTACAGGTTTGAAAGAGAAGGATTTTAAAGAAGCAGCTGGTCAAAGAGGAGACGTGATTATAAGAAAAAATTTCGAGGAACTCGAGGAAACACTCGATAATTTGATTGAGAACATATGCGGTAATATCAGCTTTGCATCTTGTTGTATATTGTGTTCCAAATTAAGAGCCATTGACCATAAATATCGATAATCCTCCGATAGTTGCAAAATTTCGTAATTCAATTTATTTTTCCTTAAAGGACCCCTTTTCACAAATTATATCAAAAAGTTCTATCGCGCTCTTCTTTCTCCGAAAAACCGAAAATTTCACTGAAAAACGCCCTGAGATGTGTATGGCACTCCTCTCACAGACCGGCACGGAAGTTGACCTGTATTTTACCCCGGCGAAAAAGACGCTAAGTACTTTATTCCAACGGGTGACTATTCAGACTTTAACTTAACAACATAGCAAGAAATTTATATTTTCAAAGAGATAAAATGACCATCGGCTAGCATACAAAATTTTAAAAGCAGAATTGCATCGCGTTGTGACTTACTAAATTGCCGACGTTGCATAATTTTTCATTGCTTTACGGCGGAAACGGCTATCTAGGCGTATTTTGAACTTCTTATGGTCAGTGGTTCTTAATGGCCGCTGAAATTGGAAGCAGGCTGTCATTTGCGCTGCGGCGGGAGAGGTGAATCTGCGAGATTCGAGTGAACGCGTGAAACAATCGTGCGAGAGGTCTCAATTTCGTGCCATAGCCCTCTGTGGCTCCTTGCTTCGCCGCTCCTGTCGCAGCGCTAGTGCCAGTCTGCTCGCAGGCTGTGGAATAACTTACCTTGGAGTCAATTTACCCCACCTTTATTGGCAATATACAATACATATATCCTATTAGACGTTTTGTTGTGTAGTATCGCTGAGTATTTTTACGAGTTGTGTCGTATTTTGACGAGCCCGTAGGGCGAGTCAAAATACAAATAACGAGTAAAAATACTCAGCAATACTACACAACAAAACGTCTAATAAGTTATTTATTATCCAACACGCCAAACTGTTGTTTCTGCGGGCGAATTTCGCGGATATTTATTTACGGGAGTGCGTGACAGAAGTATGCGAAGCGGAACGGAATTGGCGCGTTGTTGTGTTGCTGTTTCTATTTTCTTCATTAAATGAAGAAATTTTCTGGTCGTCAAGCTGTTTTTCTTCGTTCGATTCATCAAATGAACTTGNTCCTACCCCAACCCTGCAGGAGACGGGGCCTCCATTTATTCGACCCTATCCAAGAAGACTAGAATATCTAACCATTTCTTGATGTTATAGAAAGGTAGCAAATTCTTCTCAATTATTTCAAGACCTTGAGTGTTGGTCCTGCCGAGGCTCGAACCCTCGACCTCCCGCAAAACAGTCCAGCGCACTATCCATTGGCCTAACTGGGCGGTGGTTGATCAAAACTGACCCTTATTATCTTCATTTGGGTTTTAGCTGTGCCGGTAGTAACATGTCCAGTGGACGTGGCATTTGTCGTGGACAGTTCAACAAGTATTTCCAGGTCAGAATTCGACAACGAAAAGAAACTCGTGAAGGGCCTATCAACGAGAATGAGAAACAAAACCAATAACTCCCGAGAAGCTCTGGTGCAATTTAGTATATCAGCCTCTGTTAAAGTTAGATTTAATAGAACGTCAGAGAGTTTCGAAAATGTTGTGCAGGGCATAAGGAAAATTGAGGGCCGAACGCGAATCGACAAAGCCCTGGAAGCAACATACGAAGAATTCTTCTCATCTGAAAGAAGGCGGGATGCGTTTCGAATCGCGATAGTGATGACGGATGGTGTGCAGTCCACTGGTGCTAGAGGCTTAAGAGAAAGTTCCGAGCCTCTACGAAACGCAGGCGTTCGTGTAATAGCCGTAGGATTTGGGGCTGGCATGGTCAGAAAAAGACTCAGACTGATGACGGAGTCAAACGGTGACGTAGTGGAGGGCGAAAAAATGGAAGACTATTTTTCGGAGATGCTCGAGAGCCTTGCAGAAACAAACTGCAGAAGGGCCATTCGTAAGTGCTACTTATTACCCTTCAGATCCTAAAATCAGTCTCCATATTCCCTATACTGTTCTCTTTACATTTCCTAAGGTGCTGACAAGGAGAATTTGTTTCATAATCAAGAGCTTCTTTATTTGGCGATCATTTGTTTTATTCTCGTTACCTTGATGTGATTCAGGGCTGATACTGTGTGAGGAGGAAATAGATGCGAGGAACTCTTCGGAGTCAGTGAGTTAATGTTCCATAGATATCACAGATATAGCTGATGACAAATGTAAAAAAAATTGTGAACGACAGATAGGGATCAATGACCAAACTAAGATGGCTTTAGGATAATTAATAAAGAAGGAAAAGAAAAATCATTTCGTTTCCGACATTCAGAGGATATGAATCAAGAAACATCGAGATAATACATTTTGTATAGGAAATCCTGCATTGTTTAACTTTCCTTCTTTGATGCCTTGGAAACTTTTATCTATTTATCTTCCTTTTTGCTATTTATTCATTGAACAGTGATTTATCTATTTACAATTTTTCCTCAATTGTTCAGCTCATCCGATCTCAGAGAGCGACAAGGAAGGTGAGTGTTTTCCTTCTAGTTATATCATGAAGCTGTATAGATCATTTTCCTTCAGCTGCGTGGAACCAGACACACATTTTGGAATCTCAGGATGGGCAGATTTACGATAGAGTCCACGACACCTTTTATCACCTTTCAAGTAATGATTTATGAAATTCACGAAAACAACGTTTTCCTTTGGTTTTTCTTACTAACACCATCAAAATCGCATTGCATGTTGTGTTAGTGGCCTTAGTCGGTACTGTTACACTCGAATCATTATCATTATTATTATTATGGAACATAGATGAATGATGCGTCATCTACAATGTGTAGTTAGGGCATAGCTATTCATGATCACGGCAAATTGAATTACATAATCACCCAACATACACACCTTTCGGTATAAATATACATTTACATTTCAGAATAAGAAGGAATTAGTTCCTTTTTTCAGAGTGCAGTGGGGGAATATTTTCAGCAATAAGTTTGGGTATCTTTTAAAATATATATTTATTATATATTTATCATATATTTATTATATATTTATTATATATTTATTATACATTTATTATATATTTATTATACATTTATTATATATTTATCATATATTTATCATATATTTATTATATATTTATTATACATTCATTATATATTTATTATATATTTATTTGCAGAATGTGAGGACTATCCTTCCAACGCAGCAGGGGAATGTGAAAAAGGAGCACTTGAGAACATGTGCAAGGAATATCCAGATTTCATGGATGTACGTTGTCGCAAGACTTGTGGTCGTTGCAACTAAAGTGAGTTTGATGGCAAGACCACTGAGGACCCGGCTGTGTGAAGTCAAGCAATTGTATGGTCATGCATGAAACTCGCAATATTGCCATTCAACCCAATGAAATTAAGGCAATTTTTTTTCTTAGTTTTTAACTCGTATGGGAACAGTATATCAAATCGTTGCTAAAGAACAGTCTAACTTGGACACTACCAGACCTGCAACCTCTCAGCCCTGTAACTCCCAAGATCTGATTGATTTGTTAATTCTCCCTAGCTGCTACATATGTCCTTGTAAATTAGTTAGGAGAATTTGGTATTAAATCAAGAAAACAGCTTCTAACTGATAAGCTTGAGTATTCTCATCACTTGTTTGCAGGATAATGTACAAATATTATAGGGAGAAGTTACGTGTTAATTACATTTGGGAGTTAAAAAGGATTAATAATAGACATACAAACACACGAACCATAAAATGTAATGATTCTAGTATATCATCTTTTTCCCTCACAGCAGTTACGAGATATATTTTCTTTTTCATCTACAAAAAAAAGCTTGGCTATAACCGCATTACGTTTGTCCTTAAATATCAATCTTTTCGTTATAAATACTGGTGAAATAATTGTATTCTTGATGACATATCAACAAGAATAATAATAACTAAATAACTATTTTCTTTTCTGTTACAGGGGTAGAAAGGCTGTGAGGAATATGATCTGGTTTCCAAAACAATTTACAAACTACAGTCAACATAAGCAAAGTATCTTAGAATCGTTTGATCCTGTAGGAAGTGTTTTTTCAGTCTAGGAAACACAAGTATGGATAAAAAAATCCGAAATTTTTACGGAATGATTAAGTTTGAATGAACTTTAGTTGCGTGTCAAAATTTCCTGACACAAAACATCTACGGGTGACATATCTAAACGCTATATTCAACTTATCTGACGCTTGCGAATATGAGCAAGAAGTTTGTCAGTCTAAACAACGATTACTGCAATTTGAGCTTAAGACAGTTGGTATAAAATAAAATAAAATTTTCATTTTGAACTTGTTATTTGGGAAGCTTCCATGAATCAGTTATCTTATCATAATTGTGAGCTCTAAATAAAGATAATTCGACTACATAAATTGTTTCTGAGCGTACATGTTAATTACAGTTTAATTTCATGTGATTGACCTTTGTTACTCAGTGTTTTAGAAATGACATCTCCGCGTTGTTAGGCGTGTACTAGCAGAAACACCTGTCTTAAAAAGTTCACTTGTCTTGTAGGTCTATCAACCTCAGCTGGGGTAGGGTAAGTGGCAGCCGAAAGGAAAGTTACAAATACACGCGTGTCACTGTGGGATCACTTCCTCAGGTGGCATACTTTAGATCTAAATACAAAAATTAAGGGAAATTCGAGGATCAGACTTCAAATTTGAGAAAACTGGAACTAATTTTCACTGATCGCAACGATGGGCCTTTTCGCTGCCATAACAGGTCTCAAACACGATCACTTAAAATGCATGAAACATTTGTACCGTTGGAGAGCGTTTGGTCATAGTTGTTGAAGAAGGATCAAAGTGGCCATACAAATCTTTGAAAGGCTTCAAACGATGTACAACGAAATCCGGTCTCAAATTACATGCTAAGAAACAGTGCTTGCGTTTGTCCTTGAGAACGATAGAATACGTGACAAATACACGTACAAAAAATGCTTCTAAATATTCAGAATATAACAAATTACATTTACCTATAGTGAAAGGACAAAGAAACGACGTTACTTTTACAGAGTGTTCAGTCAAAATCTGCTGACTTCTGCCGCTTTTACCGCCATATTGAAAATAACGCAACCACAATGCAGTGCAATCGGAGTGCGCACACCGCCTGACCCGCCACAAACACTACCTTTTGTGCGCGGACTTTTCGCTCGCGCGTGTCGAGCTAAGACACTTGATCGCGCCTAGTTTAGCTGCCACACAGACTAACCTGTACCTAAGATATACTTCCACAGTTATAAGACGTTTTCAATAACACACTGAGCAGCTATATAAATTAACTGGAACAAAAGAAGCTGTTTACATCTAAAAAAATATTGCTAATCCCAAGGGACTGACCCAGACAGCAACATGACCGCCATTTTATTGATAGCAATATGGCCGCCGTGACGTCACGTGAAAACGATCTATAGGACTGTTCGACCAACCCATCAAGATCGGAAAGAAGGATTTTATAAGTTGACTGCGTAAACCAACTCAATGTTCAATTTACAACAAGAAATCATTGAATATTACTAAAATGCAGTGGATACGATGTGAGGAGAATGTGAGGAAGATTCACAAAAATGAAACCAACCTCATCCAGAAATTGTTTGTATTTTGTTCCATCTGTAACACAAATGACTAGGACCTCGCCAATTTTGGAGTCGTCCTCGATCAATTCTACAACCCCCTTTGCCACATCCGCAACTCTGATGGAATAATAGGGAATATTGATATGACTCGGTCCATCATGACAACTAGTGTGTCTGGGTGTCTGTCTACTGATCTGTCTGCTAATGTCTACATATCTTCCTTTGTCTGTCTGTGTGACTGTACGTTTTGTTGGTATCTCTATCTGTTTGGGTGCCTGTCAAGCTCTTTGTCTGTGTCTGTCTGTCCATCTGTCTGCCTGTCTGTCTGTCTAACTGTCCATCTGTCTGCCTGTCTGTCTGTCTAACTGTCCATCTGTCTGCCTGNACGCTCGAAACGTCAGCTTTTGTAATCGTTACGGTAGCCAATTTACCACTTCAACTTTGTTGATATATCCAAATGATTTCGTTACTCCGACGCAGCCCCAAACAGTTTCTTTCGAAACTATCAGCCTTTATTCATACTGGTTAGGTCTATACACTACGAAATGAGGTAGCGAGAGTAAAGAAATAAACCACAGCTGGCGGGACTGTATAACTCAGGGAAGCTGTTTATTTACTTAACATGTAAGCAGATGTGGGTCACTAGCCAGGTAAATGGCACATGATCACTATCCCATCATGTTACATACGGTTGTTTAGGAAGGCTATCCTGAGCTTCGATTTCCTCCTTTGTTAATCTGTGTCTTGGAAAGTCCATTTCTGTGTCTGTTCTTCCTGGACATATGCAGTTAACTCGGATTCCTTTATCTCTGATGGCTGCCTTTAGTTTAAAGTAACAACAGAGAAATACTATATTAGAAGTGAATAAAGGCTGATAGTTTCTAAAGAAACTGTTTGGGGCTGCGTCGATGGGGGTAACGAAATAATTTGTGTATATCAACAAAGTTGAAATGGTAAATTGGCCAACGTTACGATTATAAAAGCTGACGTTTCGAGCGTTAGCCCTTCGTCGGAGCTCCGACGAAGCTCCATTTTCTGCCTTTAAAAGCACACACAACCCACAATTCCTCTATTCGCTCCGACGAAGGGCTAACGCTCGAAACGTCCTTTTATAATCGTAACGGTGGCCAATTTACCATTTCAACTTTGTTGATATATACAAATTACTATATTAGAAGGGTTGAACAGCACGAATAGATGATAACCTCTTAAAACTGACAATAGCTTGAATCAAAATGATATGTTTACTTTTCACCATTGCAAGACAAGCTGGTGTCAATCAAGGTTATTTATTCATATACTTGTTTTATTTATTTATTTATTTTTGCACTTTCATTTCTTTTTCTTTCACAAATTTTTTGCTTCGTGTATACAGCTCTATTTCATTTTTGTTCTCATGAAAGCACTTATAGTAAAGTATGAATGGAATATGGATATTTTTGAAGAGTTCTCCTCGATGTTACAGCTTTATTTTCAAACAACGATGTAGAAGAGATTCTACAATAGAAAATACAAGCTAGAATTAGTAGCTCAACAAGTACAGCTGTAAATAACAGTCAGTAACGTACTTACAAATCAAGTAATGATAGGCTTATTCTCCTATGAATTGCTCGTAAGGCAGATAAAATAATAAACATTAACTTTAGGAAGCATGGCTGTTCGATCACAGTTTTTCCCTAGTTCCCGGTACTCTGTCAGCGGTATACCGGTCAGCGGTCTACACAGGTTTGCTAACTCTGAAAATTTAACCCGCCAAACCCCCTTGAGTGACCAAGACAGAATTTCTTTTTACAATAACAACTTGAATGCATTACTTATAAGTAGTCAGGTAATGGGAATAAAGAAAAAAATTTGTTAAAAGATTATCAGTAGATTGCATACCAAATTCCCCAACCTAACATAATAAGAATTGCATAGCAGACAGTGAGGAGAATTTCGCATGAGATCTTAGGAGTGGAAGGTTTTAAGTATATAATGACAAGCCTAAGTAGAATAGTAATTATTGAACATCACTTGAAGTGTACCATTATATTTCAAAGCTGTTAGATGATAATTATGTTTCATTGCCTGTCATAAAAATTGGAGAAATCAGAAAAACCTCTATCATTACTGTTAGTAATGGCCACCTGGCCCTTTCTAAATTAAGCAATGATCTATCCTGTATCCATATCATGTATTGATCTCTAGGGCTCCACACTACTCACTTTTGCAATACTTCGAGTGAAAGCAATAACTCCGTGTTTTGTGGCACAATATACCGGAGCAAGTTTCCATGGTGCTAGGCCTTAAATTAGACATAAGGAAAACAGATGAAGGAAAACAAACAAACAAAAAAAACAAACAAAAAAAAATTATTTAAATGAATAACTCCTTTCATTCCTACAATCTGTTAATGTCAATCATTGCACTGTCTCATCCATTTGTGCCAAGAAAAACCAACAAGAACAAAAAACAAACACATAAAAACTAACAAAAGACCCAAAAAATTTGTCACATTTTAGAACCAGTAAACATCATCACCTCTAGTATAAGTGACCCTATTCATAGAAGTGACAACATAATAACGATAGCAGCAATGACAGTATGAGTCTGTTGCAGTTTATGGTAAAGGTAAAGTCTGTTTACGAGCCTAGTGGCCCATCAGGCCGGACTGCTCAACTCCGGTTTCTATAGCATGAAGTGACTAGGAGTATTTCTACTCCCCCCTGGATGGGATGCCAGTCCATTGCAGGGTTACCCCCAGCATTAAATTGCCGGTACCCATTTTATACACCTGGGTGGAGAGAGGCACTGTGAGAGTAAAGTGTCTTGCCTAAGAACAGAACACAATGTCCAGGCTGGGGCTTGAATCCGCACCACTCAATCTGGAGTCGAGCGCACCAACCATGAGGCCACCACGCCACCACGTTGCAGTTTATGATTAAATATTAAAACTCTTCAACTTCCACAAGTGACCAAGAAATCATTTCCCCTTACAATATCAACTGGTAGAACAGTGCACTGGTATAATGTAGAGGTCATGGGTTCAAATCCTGCATGGGCATGAATTTTTTTCAGGCCTTATTTTCACTACACTACATAAGTAGGATTCATTACTGTGAGGATTGCTTTCACCCATTTCATGAAACCGCAGTTCACATATAGGATTTTCATATTTTCAAATTCATTGAATATCAATACAATGTACTGCAGACAAGTGACAAAGATAAAGGAAAATCTCAACTAGGGAATTATTGGTGGATCAATACTAAATTCTCCAAACTACTATCATAAGAATGATATGGCAGACAGTTTGGAGAATTACTCAATAAGAGAATCTTTGGATTGAAAGGGTTACAACTACCTACCTGCAGTGGATGACGTGTTAATGATAACTGAACCACTTTTCATATTATCAATGGCAAGAAGAGTTCCATGGATGACTCCCCCCTGAAAAAAATTATGTTTTGTAAAATTTCATATTAAAAATGAATTTTCCTACTTCCTTGATGGAATGTTTCTAAGTTAGTGGACAATGAAACATATCAGCATGTCAATAGGAGCATCCAATTCCTCTTATCCTTAACCAAATGTACTAATGTGTGAATCTCAAACTAGACTGTTGGGAAAGAATTTACATGTACCATATATGTGAGAGGGGCTACTAAGATGATTACTCAACTCTTAAAAATGAGAGATGTTTAGTTTGTTTATAGACTCATTACTGTGATTTCGCTGTGTACTCATTCATTGATTCAATTATCTATCAGCCAAGATCTCATCACTATTTCTCCCTAGTCAGGGTGCAACACTAATAGTAGCCAATTAGCCACAGACTAGTACAAATTCAGTTTTGGTTAGTGGTTAACAATTTTAACCAGGCAGTTTGGCTGGTAAACAACAAACTGAAATTGTCATGATACATCTAAGTTGTCCCTAGTCACTTGGCTAGTGAGGCGAAAAATTAGTGTTGAGCCCTGCTAGTTCTGAGACTAATTGGATCAATGAATAATTTCCTAATTAAGATCTTTCTTTATCATCATCACTTGTTTCCTTGATATTGTACAGTCAGTGGAACCTCGATTTAACGAACCTCTATAATAACAAAGTCCTCTGTCTAATGAACAATACTTCAGTTTTGGCCCAGCTAGAGTTACAGTAAAATGTATGCCACAGAACCTCGATATGATGAACCCTTGATATAACCAACCAATTTCCCCAATCCCTTGGCACTTCGTCAAATCGAGTTTGCACTGTATTGACATTATATGAAGAAATCCTGTCTTGAACAGTCATGGCAGCTAAAGGGTTAACGAAAGACAAGAAAAATGTCAATAATATTTTAATTTCAGTAATTTCAAAAGCCCACCAGGTTAGTATTGAGAGTTTGATTCCAATTGTCTTCATCCAGAATAGCAGCATTGTTGCAAACAATGTCAATGCAACCCCACAAGGAAAGAACTCTTGAGAATGCCTCTAAAACAAGAACAACAACGTCATTATCCCTATTCTAAAAGTTTTTGTTTTACAATTGGTGTGAATTTAAGCCTGAGTACGTGGCTTTACTTACTTACCACCATAAATGAAATGAAATACCAGATAAGACCCTATAAACTGAGGTATTAATGAAAATGAAAGATAACAAACATTTTAAAAATGTCATTATATCGTAAACAGAAATATCAACCTTTCAAACTGTTCTCAACAGAAACATCACATCTGATGAAAGTTATGGATCCAGTTCCATACTTCTCACCCAAAGTTATCACTGCCTCTCTGCCTCTTTCATTGCTTATGTCAACTATTGCAACCTGATAAAATGTTAAAAAAAAAATCAGTGAAAGTTGTTCAGTTCTTTCAGTGAAACTTTATTACCCCTACTTATCAACTGGAGGTATAATGACAAATGAATGCATGAGAGTATGAACAATTAATGAATGAAAAAAATACTATATAATACATTAGCGTTTTTAACCAAGGGTGAGGTCAAGATGGAATCTGTTTATTAAACTGAGTGAAGGAAAGAAAGAGTGAATAAACGAATGAATCCTAGAATGCAGAAAAGAAGGAAAGAGGGAAGGGAGGACACACTCAACTGCACCTAGTGTGCCACATTTTCGTTTTTGAACAGAGGTACAGCAACATGGAATATTTTTATTAAACAGAGAGAAAGAAAGAAAGAATGAATAAATAAATGAAGAAAAGAAGGAAAGAAGGAAAGGAGGAAGGGAGGACAGAAGGACATTATAAATAAGAATATGCATGAGTGAAAATTGATTTTATAGTTGGATGGAGGCATGCAGAAGAATAGATAGACTTATGTGTGTACAAAGACTGGTGATTTGGTAGAATAAAAAGATTCAATGCATCTGAGTGGACTATCTCTGTATTGGTGAAATAGTGCAAAGTTTACTTATAACAGGGGTTAAATTATTACATTGGGTATGAATAAAATTTGTTAGGTCTATTTCAGTGGCTGAGTATAATAATCATTTTTGGTCGAGTTGGAAGGTAAGGAAGCCCGCATCATACCCAGGTGGAAAGTACACTCACTTTTCTTTCTTTTCTTTCTTGAGTTTGCTAGAGAAAGCCGTCCTAGAGCGCGAGGTGTTACAGCTATGCAAAATCTTATCGAGAAATTGCTTTTAAACTGCACAATAAACCTCTGGTGAAATTTGTGTGGAAAAAAAGCAACAAAAAAACAAAAACATAAAAAAAAAACAAAAGCTTTTTCCATAACTTTTCTTTAATTTTATCGCTGAATACTTTAATCTACTTTTTACAGCACTCCGCAATCGACCTTGAAGGTCGCGTATACGAAGCATTTAGAGACAATATGAAGAAAGGACTCACCTTAGCATCACACTGCAGCAAAGTTTCGCAAATTCCTCGCCCTATTCCTGAAGCTCCACCAGTCACAAAAGCTACACAGCCCGAGATCTTCATTCTTTAACGATTGCTTCGCGCTATAGACCGTTCTTCTGAACTGTCACACTTGTTTTCTTCTCTCCTACCTCATAGTAGCCTGGGCTCTAACATAGGGGCCCAGTTCTCTAGGTGATGAAAAGAAAGTCAACCATTCCACTCCATTCCACCATTCACCTTTGCAATAATGGCGGCGGCCGAGTGAAGACTAAAACGAGTGCATAGGGACGAGGCCACCCGGGCATGGATTTGTGCACTTGTGAGCGCTTGTCAAAAGGTTTCTGGCACAATTTATTAATTTATTAAGAAAAACTCGCGAGAGGGCAATGGCTTCATGCAATCCGTCGAGAGGAAGGAAAAAGCTTCAAAGTATTGGACTCAACCATGGTCTGCTCGCACCATTTTAAAATGGAAGACTTGAAGAAAAGTATTGCGGGCAAAATATGCCATCAAACTAATGCTGTACCTTCGGTATTTCAGTGGCGTGCTTCGCCGCGCAAAAGGAAGCCTCCACCTCAAAGATTCACTGGTAAAGCAACTACTCATCAATTATCCAGGGCTTTATTCATAGGGTGCACACTCGGAAAGCAGCGTAAATGATAAATCGAATGAACAGCTAGAGAGTTAGATTACAACTGTAGAATCTAATGAAAAGAATGTCGAAAATGAGGCAAAGAGAAAAGATATCGAAACTCAGACCGATTTGATCGAGTCGAAGGATGCATGCATTCAGAGTGATCAGAGTGTTGTCGCGCTTGTGAAACAGTATGAAATGAGAATAGAAGAGCTCTNCTTCAACCATAGTCTCAAGTCCTCAGTCTTGAATTGTGAGAGATATCTATCTCCTAAGGAAGCTCCAAGAATGTCATTTTCGGTTAAAAAGCTCGAGGAATTGTGAGAGTTTGTATTCGCGTCGCCATGTGTTGCCCGGGTGGCCTCGCTTTCGTGAAATTATTCATAACCAGTCTCATACCTCCATCGGATTTTCCGCCATTATGGCAAAGGTGTATAACGCTGACCATCCTGTCTGCACGGACCATAGATTAACTATGCACGAACAGAAGGCCGCGCACGTAAGAAAGGTACTTTTCTTGAAAAACTTAACTGTAGAGGTAACTTTTTTTCTTCCGCCCTCTCTTAATTGGAATTGGAGAGCAACATTCTCTCAGGAAAGCCAACTTTTACGGATTTCAATTGCAGAGAAGAAGAAAAAAAAAACGATATTCAGAAAATTTTTATATGCACCAGAGGACAAGTGGAGACAGTAGGTATTAGCGACAAAAAGAGTGGATTTATCTCTTGATAAAACATAATTTATTTTGCTAATCTGAACTTTCAAACTATCACACTCTATCAGTTAACTTATGATGACACTTTTTTCCTCAGTCTTTAATGGGGCCTCGAGTCTGTAGAATCTAACTTATCTCTAATAGCTATATTTATTAATTGATTAAAGATGATAGATCCATATCGCATGATGAGAAGTAGAACACTCTCGGCTCGCTCGTTGGTTTGTCAGGTGATGTCATATAATAATCTAAAGGAAAAATGAAACAATGTTTTATTTCGTCATTCATTTTTTGATGTATCTCTTTAGTTGTTCTTTATGTATGCATCCATCAACTCATTCATTAATTTATCCATCATACATACATCAATATATTCATTCAGTCATTTATGTCCTTATTCATTAATTTCATTCATTTGTTCTTCCATTTTTTTATTTATTCCCTTACTCATTCATTCGTTTTTCGTTCTTTCACTTTCCCATTTTTTAATTCTTTCATCCTTTCATCTTTTCATTCATTCATTCTTGCATTCTTCCATTCGTTCATCCTTTCATTATTTCATCCATTTATTCATTCATTCATTCATTCAGTCCTCTATCCATCCATACATTAATTCACTCATTCATTCCGTCATGCGTCACTCATCCAGCCATCCATCTGTTCATTTATTCACTCATTTACTTCCTCATTCATGCATTCCTAAATTAATCCATCAATCCATTTATTCACTTATTCATCTATTCTTTCACCCATCCATTATCCATCCATCCACCAATCCACCCATCATTTCACTCATTCATCCATTATCACTTCCTTATTTTCGAGAGCCAACACATTTCTGTGGACATCTTACAACCTCTTTCCCAGGCCCTTTTACCCTTGCCCTGGGAACGAGGTTGGACATTCTACGTACGTCATTGAAGTTGAGATATTCCACACCATCTTCGTAAGTTACTTTTACCACTTGCCCAGCTTCAGTCGACTCATCTTTGATCAAATCAACTATGCATTGCGCTACAGCCTCTGGTCTGTAACGATAGAAAATCATTAAATAAGTATGGTGTTGAAGAGTTTTACAAAGCGTTGACATAACTTGACATGTGGTCGCCTAAAGGCGGAAATGGTTGGAAAAACTTGCAAAAAAACCTACTTCGTTTTAACGCGAATGTGCCTTCTTTAAACGAATTAATAAAGTATGTAATCATAAATTTTACGGATTGCCTTGAAATTAGGTTAGAAGACTCCCAACATACCAACCTAAAAAGACTGTTTGAGGGAATTCCATTTTTCAAAATGGATCGGTAAAACATGACAGATAGATTGCGAAGCAGCCAAATATCGAAAAGCCCTAGCTCGGTTTTGAAGCCCAACCCCTCAGACTTGAGATTGGGGAGAAGTTTTATTTGATATGCGATGAATTCGCTCACAAAAACATCGACCATTTCGGATTGTACATTGTCTCACCCCATTTGGTTTACGATTAGATCGAGCTAAAAAAGAAATAATTTTTACCAAATATTACATTTCATAACCTTTACATTGATATATAGATTATGGTGGCTATGCATCTAATAGCGCGTTGAGATTTTTTTCGCGAAGGACACCCGCGAAGGTCTACCGTATCCTTAAAAAGCAGTTTGGGTGTTCAAGGTTGTAACCACTGATTCATTAAAAAAGTACAAAGCTCACTTCTGTTTATGCGTGTTAACCAGGAGTTCTTGTTGCTCCCTAGTCAGCTCCAAGTTCACCACTGACTTGTAAATATCCGTGTCTGTACTTCCTGGACATACACAGTTCACCCGTATGCCTTTTTTTCTTACGGCTGTCTGTCATTGAAAGGAGAGTATAATAGAGGGGTTAGCATTTGGACCACCCTGTCGTCATTACGTGACGTCACGAGAGAAAAATTATGAAGGTGGTTGAGCATGGTCTTTAGGGGGCCGACCATTTAACTTTTGAGGGGGGGGGGGTGATTTCTGGTCACCATGAAATTTTTTTTTCTAGCAATCTGCTGGGCAGGAAATTTTTTCCGTTCTAAATGCTCTTTTTTTTCCTGTTACATTTGGGCTGCATGCAATTTTTTTCTTCCAATAAGCGCTTGCAGGAAACTTTTTTCAAAATCACCCACCCCCCTCCTCAAAAGTTAAATGGTCGGCCCTTAATAGGTAACGGTCTCTCACAAGGAAACTATAATTAAATATTCAGCTGGTGTTTCTGAATAAAGGTAGACAATCCCAACCTGCTTTCATTCCTCGAAGCTTTATGAAAATCAATGGACTGCCGTCGGGAGTCCATTACATGGAGCGTTCGTGCAACTGCCCTTTGTTTAATTATGTCACGGTGTTTTCACAGACAAGGCAATTGTTAGTTTGAATTTACCACGAAATGGGATTCCCCACGGAAGCCCTTCGACCAATCGGGATTAGCGCTTAGTTAATTTCCCGGGAAAAGGTAGTTTAATAATAAACCGTTCTGAGAAAATGCCGTGAGAAAGACTCAGTATGGGAGCTGAACGCTACCTAGTTCAAACTGAGCGGTATTTTGTTATAAATTAAGAGTCGCGTACGTACTGGAGCGACACTTCTTGAAAATCCCATGACACCAAACTTTGAAGCACAGTAAGTCGGTGCAAAGGAAACTGGATGGATCCCTGTAAAAATAAAAGATCATAGGGAGATAAATAGCGAAACGATGAGGAAAATTGTCTTGCTCCTGTATTTGATATCTTCGGCAATTTCATGTACATCTTAAACAACCAGTAGCTTGAACTTTTGACTTTATCGTTTGTACTCCATGTTGATCTTTTAAAATTTACCAAGACGACATGCAGTCCTTGCCTTATGGCGAAGTCCTTCGCGCAATTTTTCAAAAATCAGTGAAAAAAAATTAAATAAAAAAAAAATTATGTAAGCCCACTGCGCGGTACTCTAATTTTCGTGCGCCCGACTCCTCGAATTTATCGCGGCGCATTAACCTAATTTTTTTGGGCGCTGATTTATCTTTAAATCGCGTGAAAAGGAGAGACCGCTCTATTGTCGTAGTCTAAAATTTACCTCCAGTTGACGACATATTTATGATAACGCCATTCTTCATGAGCTCAATTCCAAGAAAGGTACTTCGAATGACAGCATGCTGTGGAAAGCAACAAATCGGGAAATGATGGTTACTGTCTGTAATTATGGTTTGTTTGTTTATCTGCTTTGTTTTGTTTGTTTGTTTGTTTTTATTCAAATCTAACAGATGCCTGTCAGTTTTGAGAATTCGCATGGGTCCGAAAAATTCCATCAATTCATTCAATTATAATCACAACTAAGAAAGGTCCTTTCACAAAATTAAAAGAAGTTTTACCAGATTCACGTTGAGGGTTTTCTCCCAATCCTGTTCGTCAAGTACTCCTGCGTTATTGACCAATATATCAAGTCTGCCGTGTTCCTTCACTGTGGCTCTAAATGCAGCTGAGGAAAAAAGTGAGAAGTTTTCCATTCTCAGAAGTCCGCGACAGTCAGGATAGCGCATTGCAGGCTCGCAAACTCTACAAACGAGTACGAATTGTGACGAAAAATTGCACCGTGTCTTATTATTTGCGTTATTGTGTTTGTGCTCCTGGAATATTCTCATTAATTGTTATTAGTTTTTTTCTTCTAGTAGACAGAGTGTAAAAGTCCATTTAACAGTTGCATCCTTGGTTTCCAAGCCTTCGAAGGGGCGTGAGGCTAAGGGTGACTTTGTTATGATACAAACATTGCTGCTTTTCAAATCTAAATTACTGTCCCTTTGTTATCAGGACGGATCACGCTAACTAGATACCAGTCTTTATCACGACAAGGTCATCTTCAGCCTCACTCCAAATCAAAGGCTTGGCAACTAAGTACACAACTGTAAAATAGTCTTTTATTATTCTATGGCATTTTCAGCATTTGTAATTCCACGAGCTGCAGTTTCGTTATTTTATTGTTCAGGTCCCTTTTGTTTTGTACATAGTCTTCGAGTTTGTCACCCAATATGTTTGAATATGCTGACTTTTCAACGTCACGGGTTCATTATGACTCTTGTTGTTGGATGTCACGATGTAACGTCGCTGGGATATTGTTAAACTATTTATTTTTACAGAGAATCCTGAGCAAAGTCGCCTTCACCAAAACATCAAACTCGTAATGCGAATAATTAACGTAAGTGAGAGAGTACATCGAAGTTATCTTTCACAGACGTCTAGAAGTTTAAACGTCGAAACTGGAGAAAACGAGAAAAAAAAAAACACAACAAAACAAAACAATGGGTGCATTCGAAAGAAAGGGATTGAAAAATATTGGCTTGTTTACTCGATAGTATGTTTTAGCTATGGTGTTGAAATCTAAATCGTCGTCTTTTGTTTGCAGTCGTCGAGAAACAACTGAAAGTTGTTAGTCTGTCTGTTTGCTTTTTTATTTTTCAGTCTTACATTAGACAATGTATTGATATGAAACTTGTGAGGAAGTGTCTAAATTACTAAATGCCTGGCACAAGGAGGGAGGGGTGGGGAGCTCAGTCGAAGTCAGTCGTTATTTCCTTGTTCAGTTTGCATAAATTATTGTCACGAACACTGACATCCACTGACCTTCTAACTGATCTTGAGAAGTGACGTCACAGCATATAAATTTGGCACGTCCGTTAGCGTGTTGGTTGTTCAAACTCTTCAGTGTTTCTTCACCGGTTGTTTTGTTGATGTCAAGGAACTGAACCTTAATTGATTCAAACATCAAATAAATGAAACAAAACATTTATAGGTAGTTTTTTTTATCAGCTCTGTTTATAATTAGCATCGTATGGGGACTATAAGCCCCTTCATAATTAATTGTTCACTGACTAAAACAAAAACTGGAATATTGCAATGAACATAGCCATGTAAAAATTTCCGTTGTAAAGATTATACTTTACAAAAAAATCATAAATAAATGGAAAAAATCACTATAGTGTATTGCGTTACATAGCCTCGCATGCGTGACCTCTATAAGGAACTTTCTATTACTCATCGTGCCGTAAATCTACTCTCCTAAGTAATATTGTAAGGTAAGAATATTATCTCTTGATTATTGAATAAAACACAGTTGAGTTAGGGGAATGAGAGTGATCACTTGACCCACGAATATACTCTTCATTTGCTGAAAGAGTAAGAACGTTTGAGGAATAACCAGGGGGAACAGCTTTCAATCTGGCAGAAAGCAAAGATGTCTAGGAGAACGAAAGGCTGTTCTGCCATGTCGTGCCAGTAAATGAAAACATAGGTGAGATTATCTGCAAAGTCAAGATTGAGAGTCCTCAATAACGAGTCTTATACGGCGAAGCCAGACGAAAAATATGAACTATGATTTTATCTACTTCTCGTATAACCCTTACGTCAACGCTTTCGAAATATTAACTAAAGGATGAAAAAAAAAGACAAAAACAATAACAACAACTAAAACAAAATAAAACAGTGCAAACTCGTGGCTAAAAGCAGACAGGAAGAAGTTTAATTTATGCTGTCCGCCTGCCACTACTAACGACTCGAAATATAATGTAAGAAATTTCCTTGAGGAATACTCATAATAAACAACAAAAAAAAGCCTCTCTGTAGGTCTTCCGCGGAGTTTTCCACGCTGAGTCGTGAACTTTATAAAATAAACAAACGTAGCCAGTGGATCTTATTATTCACTCGGAGACAATAAAATTCCCTGGTAACTAAGGTAAACAGCTTCTGGGACTTGATGCGAAAGAATATGTACAGAAACTGAATTTGGAGGAGGTTTTCTTGCTACTAAATCAAGTCAAGTAGTGACTATGAACCCCTTCAGTGTGAGGCCTAAAAATTGGAACATGTGAAAGTTTTAGATCTCATTAAAAAGCACAGTGGCATCTTTCAAAACTTAAGGTTATTATTATTGTATTGTCCTACAAACAATAGTGTTAAACTGATAAATCTGTTGCAAACCGACACGAAAAAGGTAAAATCTGATAGCTTTTTGACCTCGAATTTTCACGAGGCGAGAACTCTTCAACTTGAAGAGAATGGGTTTTTGGTTACCTTTCACTAATTAACTGACAAATATATATTGCTTAACTTTACCGAGCCAATATATTATGTTTGCAGTCATTGTAACACCTTGTCAGTGTACGATAAACTTTCCATGCTAAACAAATAATTCTCAAGAATTCTCTTCACTGTAAAAGATTTGAAATTATAGTTACAATGGGATGGAAACTTATCCATACACCGCTAAAAATGAACGAATCCTTATGTATATTCGTGCTCTTGACAAAGAATGGTCTGCCCAGCCGTTGATAAATATTATTGGAAATCGAGGAAACTACTGTTTGAGAAGCAGCTCACGAACTAACTGACCTTCGCTCCCCCTTGTAAAAGTTTCTCGCAGATTGCCTTTCCAATTCCTGAAGCACCGCCGGTAACTAAGGCCACGGCACCCTCTATCTTCATGATTAATTCACCTCTAAACGCACGGAAAGAACCAAACCATTAAACTCACTTAAGTGAATCTAAAATGTCTGTAATTCTAATTTCAGGTAGAACGCTCTTGTTGACACTCATTTGCATATTAGGTGCAAACTATTGTCTTCTTTTAAGCGCTTAATTTCCTTCCCGTCACGACTTATAAAAACAATTTGACATACTCCAGTCAAGCACAATAATTCAAAAGGAAAATAATTCTTGAATTTTATTTGAGAACCTTTAGAGGCTGACATTTCATTCATTGTTAAAACATCGAGCTTATTTTGCTATCTGACAAATGGTTTGCAAAAAAGTCCAAAATTGAATTTTCGGAAATCGAAATTCATCAGTATTTATCGGTTACAGGGCTCTGATGGCTGAAATGAGCTTATCATTCCAACCAAAACGGGATTAATTTAATTTTCCGAATTTAAACTTTTGGGAAAGTCGCGCGACCTGTAATTTAATTTTGACTATAAGATGCACATCTGTAGGATTTTTTTTTTGACTAAAGGTGAAAATTGTCAGGCAATTAATTTAACACGGTCAGACCCAACAAAACTGTGCTCCTTGGTCTGCTCTCTTTGCCTGGAGAATGTCAGTCCACTGACTGGGACGCCTTGCGAACTTTCTATAGCCTGTGTACAGCCGCCTCTCCCCTCAGAAAAAATCTGGAAGGAGATCTTTCTTTTAGCCTGTACACAGGCTAACTTTTTACTCTTAGCGCTCTCTAAGTGTGTCCTAGCTTGGTCCTAAGATCAGTATGCATATTCTCCATACTGTTCTCTATACAATTCCTAAGGACCTTTTCACCCTAACATCAGTATGCATATTCTCCATACTGTTCTCTATACATTACCTAAGGACCTTTTCACCCTAACATCAGTATGCATATTCTCCATACTGTTCTCTATACATTACCTAAGGACCTTTTCACCCTAACATCAGTATGCATATTCTCCATACTGTTCTCTATACATTACCTAAGGACCTTTACACACTAACATCAGTATGCATATTCTCCATACTGTTCTGTATACAATTCCTAAGGACCTTTACACACTAACATCAGTATGCATATTCTCCATACCGTTCTCTATAGATTTCCTTGGGTTCTGACAAGGAGCTTCTACATTTCCGTTTGATTCAACGGTGATATTGTAAGTAGAAAATAGATGCTTATCATTCTGAAAAAATATTTTTACCGATAACCATACATTTCTTATAGGTTTAGTTCAGTTTCTTTCTTCTCATCACTTTTTTGAGAAGAGAAACTGGTTTGGTCAGTCCTGGGATTGGAGGACTTTGGGGGTTCGCGTGATTTTCAGGGGAAATGAAGGGAGACATGCTCCTGAGGGGAATCATACGTCACTGACTTTGTAAAAAGGAAGACCATAGAAAATTGACCGACGTTGAGGAAAGATGATTAGAAATACTACAGAGCCTTAACTAGGGGAGGATCAGGTTAATTGTCATGACGCAACCAAAATCATTCGAACCCCGATCCTCCAGGCAAAAAATAAACGCCATGCCAGTCTCTTAGCTACCTTAATCGTGAAGGTAGGTGCACTAATCTGTCATGTTTTTCCTCCGGCCTGCAAAGCAAACTGTATTACCATTTTTTTTTTTTTTGCGTAAACCAAGAAAACACTTAACCCCTTAACTCCCAAGATCTGATTATGAATTCTCCCCTCTAACTGCTACACATTTCCTTGTAAATTGGTTAAGAGAATTTGGTTTTCAATCAAGGTAACAAATTCTACCTGCTGATAAGTTTGAGTATTCTCATTACCTGTTTGCTAGATCGTGTATGGATATTATAGGGAGAAGTTACAGGTTAATCACTTCTGGGAGTTAAAGGGCTAATGATCTCTTAATAAGCAGAGGAACTGGAGATCATGATTTTCTGACCACTGCCCACTCCACATTTTCACTGGGACAAGTTTGACCATAAGGGGCCCATACAATCTTTTTGTGTAGCCGACTGTTGTTTTATAGTGAATGTACCAGATTTACCGTTTGCCTCACCTATAGTGATATATTGCTGACTATGTACATAAATCATTGATAGATAAACGTTGAATTACTTTACCTGTGGTGTATTGTCGTCCTTTTGCCTCAAAAAAAATTTTTTTTGAGCGATTTTGAATAAGTCTGAGTTCGTCGTTAATGTAATGCATAAAAGAAAGACAAGGGTGGAAGCTTTTTTTGAAAGGGTTCAAGCGCCCGAGCGATTTACCCCCGAAAATCGCATTGCTCCGCTTTCAGCTTCGCAGCATTAAGGTCAAAAGATGCACGATTCTCCTCGTACCTTCCAATCGAAAATCCATCCAAATGGACCGGAGCGAGCCCTCGAAGAAAATCAAAATCCCACTGTATTTGAGCGGCTGGGATACGTAGCAAGATTCTCATGTGCCAGCCAGAAACGTCACGTCTGATTGACCAATTCAAAATAACGTCGTCCAATTCAAAATAACGTAGTCCAATCAGAAAAGGCCTCATTAGATCCCTCAGTTCCTCGGCCTGGACCTTACCTATTTCATGGTGGCGGTATGCAGAACCCGCAGTACCCGCTTTTGAGCACAAATGCTTTACAATCTCTCGCATCCTCTCCATTTGTCGAGACATTAGTCGCATCCTCTGAAAGAAACGTCGTCTCCTTCGAAGAAATATGGCGAGAATCAGTACGAGAGAAGTCATTCAAAATGCTTCGTCTCCCGCCATTTTTTCAAAG